CCCCGAAAAAAAACACCCAGAAAAAACAACAAACAAAACAACCCATTGACAGAGAGAGAGAAGCAGTAAGCTTTGGGCTTGACGTGCACAGGGAAATATTAGTTGCGCAACAGTTGTTGTCGCCGGGCAACTTATTTTATACACCGCGCGCACAGAGCTAAGCAACATTACAACTAGGAAACAGTTGATTATCCTCGACGCAGTTGTTGTCTGTGCTCTTGTGATTGCACTAAGACTTAAAAAGAAGGAGAAAAAAGGCGGTTTGGGTCCACCCTTTGACCAGTCAGATGTTTTTAAAAGGGCATTTTGTCAAACTGTGTGAATATTTGAGCGGATACTCTCCCAAGCTTTTTTAAAACTATTATCGCGTCAGCTCGGAAAGTTTTAAAGAACTTTTACGTCTCGTGGGACCCTCAATTACGTATCGAAACACCAACTGGAGGAGCAGCATTTCAGCAGAGGACAGACCTGTGGGCGTGGTGTGTCAGTTTGGTATGTAACACAGGAGATTTGAGCAACAGTTGCGTTGCCAGAAAGTTGTGACAAAACAAAAATGGCCCCCAAAGTTTGGTGACTTACAAAGTTTGAGAGGCCTTGGAAACCGCATATATACATTTCTGTGCGTTTGATCAACATGTTTCAGTAAAATCTACAAAGAGGTGTAGTTTTTAATGGATATTCAAAAAGTGTTGAGCCAAAAAAAATAATTTGAAAAAAAATTATTATACAGCGGCCACAAAAACAGTTGATTTCTTTGATTTAAATGTTTTGACGGGAGCCTGATTTCACCACTCTCCACCTTTCCCTAGCCTGGGCTAGCCGTTTGAAGTTATTCCATGTCTTCCTACTTTTCTGCACATCAATTTCTATGACTCTTCTCCAGGTTCCACGTGGTCTTCCCCTTGATCTTTCGCCCAGTGGTTCCAGTCCAAGACTTTGCTTGTTCTGCAGCTGATAAGGGTGAACAACACAGACCTGCCTATAATAGACACATTTACCTACCTAGGCAGCATAATCAAAACTGACGGCTCACAAAGGAAGACATCATGAATATACTCGGCAAGGCAAGATCTGTACACAGAAGCATGATCAACAACTGGAAGTCAGGACAGTTTAGTATACAAACCAAGTTAAAGCTGTATAACAGCTGCATGTGTACTACCCACACTCCTATATGGAGCTGAATGCTGGAGGATGACTGATCATGACCGTGCCAAGTTATCTCCCTTTCATACAACCAGCTTACGCCAAATCCTCAGAATCTTCTGGCCCGACAAGATTTCCAAAGCAGATCTGTTACGAAAATGCAGGCAAGAGGACATGACCACCATAATAAAAAGGAGAAGACGGAGATGGACTGGGCACGTTCTGAGAAGAGAACCAGACTCTATTGTGAAGTATGCCTTCCACTGGATACCAGAAGGACGTCGCAAAAGGGGCAGACCCAAAATGACCTGGAGACGCACAAAAATGAGGACATCCAGAGAGATTCAACCCCCCCCCCACCCCCCACTCACACACACACACACACACACACCTTTTCGTGAAAATATCGAAGTACACACAGCAGCTCTACGTATTCTCTATCTTTTGACCAAATTAATGTATTATTGTGTTTACCATCTTTTGTGGTAGACGTAATTGTTGCTTTCGTTTTATGTTAGGCCTAATGGTTCACGCCAAATCGATAATTTCCCGAACAACTAACTATTAAACTTTTTACAACTTTGTACATATGACAATTTTATATTGTCGGGAAGAATTCCGTAACGAGCGACCACTATGAGACAAAGTAGAATATAGAAGAGATACATGATGTAGAGTTAAGATAGGCTTACTTTTAGAAGGGGGTTTTAGGATTTGGGTTAGGTCTCTTCTTTTTACGAATTAATTATTGGGAAATATGACACAGCTGTGATTTAAATTTTATGGATATTTTTCCGAGACAGCCGTTACAAGGAGTGGTACATAAGCCGGAACTGTACAATGTAGGGGCCAGAGTAGTAAGACGGATATAAGTGGTCATAATAATCATAATATTGTGCAGAGCGCAGACCTTGGAGAGATAATTGGTCGGGTATTAGGCTTAAACGCACATAAGTGAAACATCTCTCTTATTCGTTTTGGAAAGTTTGACAACCTGACCATAAAGTCGGCTAAAAAAGAGGGGGGGGGGGACAAACGCTCTCATACCTAAACACGACGCATCAAAAAGAATAAAAACACAGGGCTATTGCAAGCGAAGCCATTCAACTACCTTTGAAATAATGTGATGAATCACTGAAGTTGTAACAGGTGTATACTAAAGTGTTTTATCTCCCCCCCCCCCCCCCCTTACTCCCCCCTGCCCCAATTTCCACTCCCACAGCCTTCACAGTGAACATGACGCAGCTGACTGATTTGTTTTGCGTCGTTCCAGCTGTTGTTTTTACAATAGAAAACTACATCACGAAGAAATACTGGCAATTGTTAAGTCTCCCCCCGCTTGACCACACACACCCTTCAATATACACATGCTTTGAAAAAATTGTATATTTTGTTGAATATTGATATCTTTTCGTACCCCTTGAAGTACATTTCACAATTTGTGAATAGCAATAGCTTTTCTTTTTGAGGATAAAACAGATTGTGTAGCGTCCTATCAGGCACATTGATGTTCTCACCATTTTTGACCAAATGCAACTTTCGATTCAAAAGAGTACGGAAGGAAAAAGATGGCGGCTGCCAGGTTACCGCACAGAGTCCTGGAAGTTCTTTTCTCGTTTTTAGACATTTCTGACTTACGAAGTTGCTCGCTTGTGTGCAAAAATTGGTATCGTTTTTTGAACGATGAAAACAACGATGTCTGGAGACTCCATTGTGTTCGAAAATTAGCAGAAGAAGCCCTCAAGTCTGATGTACTCACAAATGTTCCCACGTACAAGGCAAAGCTTCGAGCGTTTTATCACGCATGGAATCCAAATGACTGCTCTAAAAATGTTTATATCAAATCTAACGGATTCACACTCCATCGAAATCCTGTTGCTCAAACGACAGATGGTGCCAGAGCAAAAATTGGTTTTAAAACAGGACGTCATTGCTGGGAAGTGTGGTGGGAGGGTCCTCTGGGAACTGTTGCTATGATTGGGTTGAAGTCAAGAGACTCTCCTGTGCAGTGTCAGGGATACTTTCCCCTCGTTGGCGGAGACAGTAACAGTTGGGGTTGGAATTTAGTTGACAATCATTTGATTCACAATGGAGATAGCCATGGCAACTATCCTCCTCTGAACAATGCACCAAAATATCAGGCAAGTAATACTGGAAGACAGTCGTTGAATTGTTGAATGTTGCAAGGTGGGGGGAAGAGACCCAAGCCTCACCGCCTTCTTGAATCTCTGCTAGATCTAGACTAGATCTAGATCTAGATCTAGAGTAGATCTATATAGTTTTCACAGAATTTAATATATTCAGATCAAGTATAGTTTTTTAAATATCTTGAACTATATTCCATATATTTTCTATTGTCTGGAGGAATTTCGTAAGTTACAGCGTAACGAGCAACCACTCACTATGAGACAGAGTAGTTCAATGAGGGGTAGTAAGTAGTGTTAGGGTTAGAAAAGGGTTTTACAGTACAGGGGGTGGTTAGAGGTCTCTTCTTTGCATTGTGTTTGTTTGGGTGGTCGCTCGTTACGGAAGTCCTTTCGTCAAACTCTCTTGAGTCAGAGTGGGAGTGAAATAGACCTATTCTATTTTTGGAAGTCCCGACTTAACTTAAAATTAATTTTTTTTTGTGTGCTGAAGTTTTATGACATGAAAACTGTTAAACTGTTTACAATAATTTCATTGTTTACATACATGAAAGGCTACAATTTTCATGTTTCAGTAAAGGCCACCTCTATCACTCGTGGTGAGAGTTTAACTCATCACCCGCTATTCTTAAAAACGACTGTGATCATAGATCTAGATCTATTTTTTAAATTATTAGTTCAGCCTGCTTCAAGCATTCCATTCCATGAGATAAGGAGCGCTCAATCAAGTCTCACAAAATTAAAGTCTGATGGGGTTTTATGGAAAATTACGATGCAGACTTTTGAAACAATTGAATGTATCTTAACCACATGATCTTTGCTTTTCTTGATCTGATCAATTAAATCTTTAATGAACGACAAATAGAATAATAGTAGTGTAAAAACATTTTTCGCCTCTTCTGTAAAAACATACTACCCACGCTACTGTGCGGGATGTGGGGCCGGCCGGACCATTCATTATTTACTCACTTACAATACAATGGCAGGCCTCTCTGCCTACACAATAAATTATGGTTCAAGGAACAAAGAGCATGTTACGAGATACGAGTGCGAGACTTATGCTCTTGCACGACGGTAGAAGGGTTGTAAATTATTCTGACCGAATGATCGAGAATCGTGTTAACTCTAGTTTAATAAAATTAAAAGCTATCCAAGCTCTTTTGTTCGCTTTATTTTATTTTTTAAAAATTTTTTCCTTTTTTTTTTCTTACCTCTTCTGTCCCTTTTTTCTTTAATATTTGGAGTTTGGAGCCAAAAAAGAGCCAGAGAGCCAAATAGGTGAGACATATAAATACTCACCTCTTTTATATGAGAATAACCACTTCCTTCCAGTGTGTGTCCAATGCCCACAGCATTGATAAATGATAAGTTGGTGGCTGTTCTAAAAAACTTTAGGCCTAGATCATAGATTTAAAAATGGAAGTGGTTCTATGTCTCCCTATTCTCACCCCCTCGTTTTATCGGAAATGACCCACATGATCTTTGCTTCTACCGTCATGTAAGAGCTTAAATAGTCTCGTGCTCGTGTCTCGTTACGTTTGTACGCATGCTCTCTGTTCCTTGAACCATAATTTATTAGTGTGCAGGCAGAGGGGCCTGCTGTCACTAAGTAAAAATAGCAAATTATCCGGCAGGTGGCCGGTCCCACATCCCGCACACTAGCGTTGGTAGTGAGACATAATGATTTTTTACTGGAGAGGTGAAAAATGATTTTACATTATTATTACACTTTTTATTCATGAAAAATTTAATTTAGCAAAGATATAATCATTATATTCTATTTCAAAAGTCTGCGTATAATATAATTTTCCATTTTCCATTCCCAACATTATTTCTGCAAGAGTGCTCCTTCATCTCATGGGATGGAACGCTTGAAAGCAGGCCAAACTATTATTAATATATATTTTAAACATTTTAAAAATATAGATCGTGATCTACATTGCAGTCAATGTCCGTGGGGGATCAGCCCAGTAACCTAAGTTCTGATCTAGACCATTTTCGGTCAAAGGGGGGGGTGAGAATAGCGGGTCATGAGCTATTCTCACCCTATTCTCACCAGGGGTGAGAATATAGGTGGCCTTTAAAAATAGCGCTAGGCGGAATCTGGCCCCCCTAGCTGATCACTGAACTGTAGATAGTACTAAGTAGGGCTGGACAGGTACAGGTCCCCAGCACCGAAACTCCCGATACTATTGTAGACGGTGTGAGTACTGGCACCAGGCCTCCAGTACTCGCACTGGGAAGGTGCCGACACCAAGTGGTACCTGATACCGGCTCTGGGACGGTGCCGACACCGAGTATTTAACACAGAGGTTGATGTGCCCTTGGAACTGAAGGCTCAGTTACTGTGCAGTGTGTAGAAGCTGTGACGTGAGATGCTCTGCACAAAGTGACTTGGTACATGATGACATCGCGTTTAAAATTTACGATCACTTAAAAATTACATTATAAAATTTAATGGTGTGTAAGTTGTTTCTGTACGTTTTTATGTATTTGGACCTAGAGAATTGCTGTGGAAAGGGAAGCCACCCATGGTCGGAATGTGATGTCAGTCGGTTAAAAATTTTACACATATGGGTTTGATTGCTTTGTGGAGAAGATTGATGATTAAATAGTCTTTTCATTGGCGGAGAGTTATATTTAGAGCTTTGAACATGGTTTTCCGTGGATGTGAGGCAGCGTGGTGAAATCAGGAGCTCGTTAAAATAACGAAATCGTAGAAACAGGCGTTTTTCCGCCAGTTTTGGGAATTTTTATCGAATTATTACTTTTTTTGTCTTGACCTCTTTTATGTCCATATTAAAGCACATTTCTTCGTAAATTATACTGAAAAAAAAAACCCTTTGATTAAAGGTACAAAACATATTTTCCAGATTGCAAAGACTCTTTAGCTATTGGAGTTACCATACTTTGGTAGCCATTTTCTCTTTGATTTAACAACTGAAACCAGGAGACCTCATTTCCTTCAATCGCAAATATCTTGAGTTCTATTCGAGATAAATGGATATTTATTTCATCAGAAGCAAGGCAAATAAATCAGCTTTCAGATGGTATCAAAAACTCCACATGTCCCAAAATTGATGAGCGATTGATTCTACCGCATCATGACACATATGTTTTGCTTACTTTAGAAAGTAAGAGAAAGCCTGTAAAAATAGCGTCAAAGCTTCCAAAGAGATTCTACACTTGAATGTAAAATATCGGCTTTAAAAGGGCACCAATAGAAAGATCAGTTCCATTTCCAATAGAATAGAGTCATGAGCTGTTGTAAATTTTGCGTTCAGTTCATCCTTCCGCAAAACCCCGAAAGTATGACCCCCAACACGGTGTGCACCCCAGGCCATTATATCGATGTTAGTGATTATTCTCTGTTTTATCAAACGCAGAGTTGCAGCCAGTTTGAGTTTGCGAATTTTACAAAATTTTTTGATTTTTATTAGAATGGCTGCCATTCCTTGATTGTTTACACGAAGGTGAAAGAAGGGTTCCCAAATTTTCATGCTTGAAATCTTTCATAAAAATAAGGAACAGAAGTTTGTCGTACATACAGCTACTTTTGAAAATTTAAGTTTCTGGTGCCTATGTGTTGACTGTGCAAGGGTGGAAATCAATCATGTATTCCTCTTTTGTTCTCTAAATTTATTAGATTTTGCCCATAACCTGTTGGCTGTTGGAGCTCTATCTCTTGCTCTCATCAAAGTTAGCTGACCTGATCTTGGTCTGGGGGGTTTTGTGGCGTACAGGTTAAGAGGTTCGCCTTTCATTCAATAGGTCGCGGGTTCGAATCCTGATAGTGACGAAAATTTTTCTTCTTTCTCTAAAATTATCACCTCCTTTCCTTCTCTCTAGCAATGTTCCTTTCATCTGCTTTTGCCTCCACTTTCTGCATACGGTCATATATGCTCAGAATGCGCGGGACACTTTATACTTTTTCAGTTTGTAGGAAATTTTGACTTTTACCGTGGTGGCGGCCGAAGCCTACTACTCTTGAATTTTAAACCACCAAGGGATCTTTTAACGTGCGCAACGTGCATACGGAACTTCAGAAATTTTTCTCCGTTGTCCGAGAAGGCTATGTATAGATCTTTCCCATCAGAAGATAAGGGGTGTGTCTGAAAGACAGCAGTAAGAAGAAGCCAAGGAGTAGCAGTAGAAAGGCTGCAGAAAGAGTCAGGAGCCCAGAGGAGGGGGCAAAGGAGGTGAGGGGATGGGGGCAGAAAGTGGAGACGAAAGCAGACGACAGAACATTGCTTGAGAGTAGGAAAGGAGTGAAAGGAGACAGTATGAGAAAAAATTGTTTTCATCGCTACACGTATTTGAACCCGCGACTTTTGAATGAGAGGCGAATACCTCTACATCTAGGCCACGAGTGTCCCTAGAGGTCATCTTTTGAAGAACACCACACCATTTTTCGGTTAGCCCTGCTACACAGCCAACTTCATGATTGTTCTAAGGTTAGCGGTACAACATGGTATGACTGGGCTGTCAAAAGCCCTACCAACCAGAATTTCACGGGACCAGAGAATTTCCATGGATGTGTGTTCAGCAGATTTTGTGTTGAGTGAATTGGAATTGCAATGTTTAGAACAAATAGAGGGGGAAAAATGGGGGTTTGAAATCCTTTCTGAAAAGCGGGGGTTGGGAGGGGGAGGGGGTGGAAATAGTGTTTTTGGATCAAATTATACTTATAATGTAAATTGGAGTTGTACATCATATTTCCTGGACATTTCCAGAAAAATGTCCAGAATAGTTTGTAAGGGTTTCTGTACCCTGGTGTTTGAGGGGATTTGTAGAGAGGCTTTTTGTAAGTAAATAAGTCACAATATATGTGTTAAATTGGCTTTGTGTTAAAAATAACATGTTTCATCATCATCTTCAAATATGTGTGAGGCGTTGTGGTGAAATCAGGCGCTCATTATAATAATGAAATCAAAGAAACCAGTTTTTTGTTAACATTGGGCAATTTTTTTCATATTTTCTTTTTTTAGCTCAATATCTTTTGTGTCCATTTAAAAAGAGATTTCTGTGAAGACTTTACCGAATGTTGATTAATGGATCCAAAAAAAATAAATGTAAATTTGTAGTTTCCAAGGACTCTGAAGGTATGGTATTCACCATACTGGCCTCCATTTTCTCGCTTATTTTACCTCTGAAACTTGGCGACCCTTGCCTCCTTCCATCACAAATACCTCGACTTTTATTCTCGATAGATGGGTATTTTGTTCATCAAAAGCAAGACAAATGAACAGGCTTTTTAAGAGGATACCAATAACTCAAAATGACCAAAAACTGACAAGTGCCTGATTCTACCATGTTATGACACATAATTTTATATAAGGTGTACTGACAAAATGAGGTACTTCTTGCAATTCTCAAATCAATATATTTTGATTGGCCAAAAATTGACACTAGGGTCAAATTTGTGTGTAGAATTTCTATTGATGTCATATATAATTCTTTAGCTACTATAACATGCCTTTTATTATTTCATTTTTTATTAATTGTAAAAACTTCACTTAAATCACTTTGTGGTCACTTGGCGCAATAATGCGCCGCTGAAAATTATCCGTTCTGGTCACCTAAACTGCGTCAGGTCCGAGAAGTCCGTTGGAGTCCCTCTCCTGGCTGGGTGACCAGATGGGGTATTTTGTACTGCTGGCCGTGTGACTGCAAAGTGTTGTTAGCGTTATGTATCTTTTCCATAGAGCTGGGATCCGAGAAGTAACTCTTTTTGTCAGCACGCTTCGCATTGTTTTGTTTTGTTTTGTTTTGTTATAAAGGATTTTGATCTGTAAGGAACTTTGCCTGTTGCTGGATGTTAAACTGTGTGGTTTTGTTCTGTCTGCGCAGGTCGGGGAACGAATAAGAGTTATATTGGACTGTGAGGACAACACGCTAGCCTTTGAAAAAAATTATGAATTTCTAGGTGAGTGACTTATTTTACTGCAGGCTTGTAACCAACTGTACCGGATTTCCTGGGAGGACTGTCCTGGATTCGGCGGTCGACCATGAATTTGAGGGGATCAATCAACTCATTGATTCCTGACATTGCAGCAAAATCAGTCCCACTCAATGTAATTTTGTTGGCTGTTTTAGATAGGTAATCTGAGGTGAAAACGCTGGGTGTCCCAGATTGGGTTGTTTTGAAAAAGTTTGGCAAGTCTCATACTGTCTATGTTTTTCCAGTTCTTGAAGTCTTGTGTGTGAAGGGGGGGTACATTGTGATCTTATCCAGCCAGTGTTTTTTTTCCCTTCTTACTCTAAGGTATTGAATTTAAGCGTCCCCCCATGCTTTTTATTATTAATTTTCAGATTTTTTGTGCACCCCCCGCTCCTTGTTCCATCCATACCCCCCGTTTATTATTTTCCAGCTTGCCACGACCGACGATCATGTGAAACATTATATTATCTAGAATCTAGATATCTGAAGGAAACTTTTTTTTAGTAACGGTACCGGGTTGACTACCTCAATTTTCTGTGCATTTTAAAATCTATCGTACATTGTTTTATATTTTTTTATGAAACTGGTTTGTTCCTAAACAGGAAAAGTTGTCACAGTAACTTATTAATATATCAAAAATTTCATGATCTCTTATTGTTTTATTCACTGAAGGAGAAATAAAACAGATTTATTCCTGCTAGTACAGGGGAATGACGTTGAATGTGCCGCCACCCCTCCCCACCCCCCCCTTTTTTTAAATCTCAAACACCCCCCCACCCCCGTTTTATTAATTATGGACCCCTTGTTCACCCCCCACCCCCCCAATTTATTCGATACCTTAGACTGGCCCTATATTATGTCTTGTCTGACTATCAAGGCCAGTGCTTTGTTTGACCTGAGATATTGTTTTTTGCAAGGATATAATGTTTTACAGCAATATGTTGGGTTTTCTTTTTGTGCTTAGATGGTGAGAGGGCACCGTGCCACCATGTCTAACCCCTTTCTTTCCCAGCTTCTGTTTATTTTTGTCTCTCTGTCTTCTATTGATAATACTAAACATCAATAGCATTTATTTTGCTTAAATATTTCCATTTTCTTAAAAGAATGCTCAATGCGCATTACATCCAAAAAGACCTCACGTCTTAAAAATTAATCGACATGTTTGAAAGTAAAACACAGTAATAGGCATACATAAAAAATCCCTCTGAGAAAAACGGTCTTGTAGTGAGCTTGGCTATGCATTCACTAAGAAATATATACAATGCAATAAAAATCCTAGCATTAAACATTACGCCACTACGCTGGCAACATGGCACATGTCATTTTTGCTACTTTTGAGATTATAAATATGGAAAAAAAACCTGTTGAACTAGACTACATATCGTTAAATATTCGTAAAACTTGCCATACATGTTTATTTTGTAGTGACTGCCAGCGCATTTTTGTTTTGATTTTTCCAAAGATAGAAAATATAGTACCACCAAACAAAATGAAAGGCCTGTAGTTTCTTTATCACATCTCTGAGGTATGCCGTTTTGCTAGCGCAGTGAGGATGTGTTGCAGCAATGCGCTCGTCTTCAATTCAGTGGGTGGTTGGCGCGTGCTCTGGTGTGGTTTGCTTCTTCTTTCTTATCAAACACTTCTCCTTATCTCTCTCCTTTTTTGTAATTGTTACTCTCTTGCAGCACCTCTAATCTTCGGCACTTTTATGACCTTATTTGTGTTTCAAGGGTGGTAAAACACTTACTAAAACTAAACTAAACTTAATTTGTTTGTTTTTTTAAATGCCTTAAAACTCGTACTAAAACTTAAATAAACATATAAATATCACTTTTTTGTGCTTTTTAAAGTGCCATAAAACTCTTACGAAAACTAAACTAAACTTATATCACCGTACTGTTTTTTTTTAAGTGCTGTAAAACTTACTAAAACAAAATAACAATGGGCTGCTCATCATCATCATCATCACAGGAATTCCCCATTTTTTTTTTCTTTTTGGTTTCTTTTTTCTTGAGATATAACAATTTGCACCCTGTCAACACATTTTTTACGTAGCCTAAAAATATCGGCACCAAGATCAGGGCACGTGACATATAACAAATAATTGTGTTGGTTTTTTTTTTAATTAAAAAATAAATGAATAAAAAATAACAATGGGTTGCTGCTTTTTTTTTTGTCCTCAGGAGTTGCATTCCGGGGCCTCCCCAACACCCAGCTGTACCCGGCAGTGTCGGCCGTTTACGGCAACACGGAGGTGTCCATGGTGTACCTAGGACCCCCGCTGGACGGCTGACCCCCCGACCTGTACAGTAAACCCGTGTGTCTGTGTCTACATGGGAGGAAGCGTGGCTACCTTTGTTTTTGTAATTTCTTATTATCTGTGGACCTGCGTGGAGGAGGTTGGGAGATGTGTTGTGGGGGTGGGAGGGGGGGGGGGGGTTGGCTGGGAATAGTAGAATAATAGCCTGTGTCAAATATTATGCATGTTTGGCATATATTATATATATATATATATTTTTGTACATGATACTGGGGTTTTTTTTGTCTCACGTCTTACCATAGCTGTGTTAATGAAAAAATTAAAAAATGTTATTGTGATACGGTTGAAAATATGGCTCTTTCAGAGCTCGGTGTACAAATTTACTCTACTGCGGTGTGACTGTGTGCTAGTGATGTCATCATTACTTGTGCCCCCCCCTGCTGCGCTGACGACTTGAAGGTCTCGTCTTTGTTTGGAAAGCTGAGATATGTGTGGGTCATCGTGGTGAAATCAGGCGCTCATCAAAAAATGAAATTGAGGAAATCTGCATTTTTCGGCCCGACCCATTTTGCAATTTTTGTCTTATTTTTGTTGTTATTTGGCTCAACTTCTTTTTCGTCACTTTTAAAACAGATTTATGTGTGGATTTTACGGAAGAACGTTAATTAAAGGCACAAACAATGCAAATTTGCAATTTTCACGAACTTTTGAGCTATTGAAGTCCCAAAATTCTAGAGGCCATTTTCTGTTTAATTTTTACCTTTGAAACCAGGCGACCCCATCTACTTCAGTAACAAATATCTCGGCTTCTGTTCAAGATAGAGACATATTATGTTTTTCATCAAAACCAAGGCAAAAGAACGAGCTTTAAGGTGATTATTAATATCCCCATAGACATGGGCCAAAATTGACGAGCGCCCGATTCCACGGCATGGTCACTCACCGCATAGTGACTGCCCCTGATGTGTGATTCTTTCCTTCTCATTGCTCTGTGAACCTGATATTATGTTGACTGAATGGCGTTGAGACGAACGGGATGTAAAATATGTAAAGCTGTTTATTAATTCGGAGCACGAAGCTTGGCTTAACCTCTTTCAGTATGATTGCTCCTTAATGCTACACACCAAGCGAATATCTGACTGAGTGTCGTTTTTTAAATTTTTTTTATTCTTCTGCACCCAGCCCTCTTTCTATGCGTCACGCTAGATGCTATTATATAGCTCAGTCGGTATTCATGTCAGATTGTGATTTCAGGTTTTGTGGTTCCCGTTGGGGCATTCATACGCTTGGTGGGTGATTGAGAAGTTTTCGTAGGTTTTAAAAAAAAACTGGGGGTTTTTTCTGTTTTTTTTAACACTTTGCTGTTACATCTGGCCGATCGGCGATGTTTACCACCCAGTTTCTTTGGATTTTCTATCCGAAATGCCTTTGCCTTTGATGACAAGGGTAACAAACTTTGTACTTTATGAGCTTTGTGATGGCAAAGTGTTAAATCATACCCTCTTGGCTTTTTTTGTCGTATCATCGATTGAGGCTAAGTCAGAGATCCTCTCCTCTTTAAGTATGATGTAGAAATCTGTGCTGCTTCTGGACTGTTCCGTAGCGTGCGTACCAAAGCTATGTGTGTGTTGCAAAGTGTTCAGTTCTGCTTTTATCCTTTTGCTGTCATATATATTGTCACTGCTACTGCTAGTCTCTCTTTCTTTATCTCTCTCTACCCCCCTCTCTCTCTCTCTCCCTTTTTTCTCTCTCTCTTTCTCCCCCTTTTCGCTCTCTCTGTCTCTCTCTCTTTCTCTTATCTGTTGCTTCTTCATTTTTGTTATTTTGCTCATTCTCAATTCTCAAAAGAGATGAGAGAAAGAAAAAGTACGAGAGAGAGAGAGAGTGTTGAATTTGTGAGTGTATTTTGTTACAGTTTTATGTTCTGGAATTACTGAATAAGGTCCAGACTTTCATCAACAGATGTATGAGGAATATTCTAAGAATAAAGTGGCAGGATAGAATAAGAAATGAAGAGCTGTGGGAAAGGACAGGACAAAAGGATATAGAAGTAGAGATAGGACTAAAAAAGTGGTGATGGATGGGACACACCTTAAGAAAGCCCAGCGGAAACATCACAAGACAGTCACTGCAGTGGAACCCACTTGGAGCACGAGGCAGGGGTAAGCCACGGGAAACATGGAGGAGATGCGTGGAAAGGGACATGACAGAAATCAAGCTCACTTGGAACAAGCTTGGAAGGATGGCTCAGGACAGAGATAAATGGAAGGAGCTTGTATGTGGCCTATACCCTGCCAGGGGTGAACGGCATTGATGATGTTCTGGAAAGTGTTTAGGTTGGGGTTTTTTATTTTATTTTGTTAGCAATTTTTTTCTTTTCTGTTGAATCTTTTTGTTTGACTGTCAAATGTAGCAAGTTTTTTGTTTTGTTTTTTCCTGGAGACTCTTCGCATCAAAAGGTTTCTTACAGATTTGTACAAAATATTATGGCTTCACTTCATCTCATTATTCTCATCGGCCAAAGTATTTTAAAAGCTGCAAACTGTAGATTTTTCACATATTATTACGTTTATGTAGATGACAGCAATAATATCATTTATTAAGTTTTGTTTTGAGTACGTGGAGTTGATGAGTTCAGACCGTGTTTCTCCTCACTGAGACTGGTGCAGTCGACTCGGCTTGTGCTGAACTCGCCCGAGTTGTTCTTCGGTTAAGTTGAGATCTTTTTGTCGGGTCCCAGCACCTCTTCTTTTTCTTCACAGATCCCAACGGCCGGTTACATTGAACTTTGTATGAGCTGATTTTTTTTTTTCAACACCCCCCCACCCCCTCCCCCCCACGACATCAACACCTATCCGTAGTCGACTGTACATGACACGCTGCTGGCTGTCTCTGTGTTTGGGTGCAGTGATTTCTTGTGACTTTTCCTCACGTGTAACTCTCCTTCCTAATGCTCTGGCGTGTATCTTAGATGTATCGTTAGCTCAGTTGTTAGGGAAGACTTGGTGTGCAGTGCCTGTAACTTGGGTTCACATTCCCTCCTGAAAGCGTTTCTCAGTCTATGTTACAGCCATTGACTGTGGTGTGGTCTGCTCCATCGATTTTTTTTCTTCTCCGAATGTTGTCCGTTGTATACTTCCTGACAAAATGTGGTGGTTGTCGTCGTACTACACTGTAAATTTGTAAAATGTCCTGGAAAACAAAGCCCCCATGTTCTATCTATAGCGGATGAGAATGTGGAGGAAATCGTTTCTCCTTCCCCCCCCCCCAATCCCCACCTTCTTTCTTGTAACACCCAGAGTTTTTCATGAGACTAAGTTTGTCTCAAATCTCAACTCAACAAGGTCAAATCATTTTCCTGTGTGCACAAAGTGCACTAGTGGTGTAAATGTTACAGGGAACTATAGAGTACTACCTTGTGTGTGGCAGTAGTAGACGCAGCCCTGAGCAGTGTGGCTAGCGTCCGTGTGTACGGTAGAGAAGATCGTCGTTCCTTTGTTAATGTAGATATATATATATATATATATATATTATTATCATAACCAAATAGCTCATCGATTTATTTTGTATCATATTATGTGAGGCGTCGTGGTGAAATAAGGTGCTCCTCAAAATACGGAAATCAAAGAAACCGACCTTTTTCTGCTGGTTTTGCAATTTTTATCGAGTTTTTGTTGTTTGGCTCAACATCTTTTATGTCTATTTATTTAAAAACACATTTCTGTGTGGATTTTACGGAAAAACCTGTATTAAGGATACAAAAACAGTCAATTTTCAGTTTTCAAAGACTCTCAAACTATGGAAGTCACCAAGCTTTGGCAGCCATTTTCTCGCTAATTGTACCACTGAACCCAGTGACCCCGTCCTCCTTCAATCACAAATATCTCGACTTCTATTCAAGGTAAAAGGATTTTTTTTCATTAAAAACAAGGCAAGCGAACAGGCTTTAAGATGATACCAATATCTCCAAATGACCAAAAATTGACGAGCGCCTGATTCCACTGGGTCGTGACACATATATATTTTTTCTATGACCTAAAAATGTTTTTGCGTGAGGTGCACATTATGCCTGTTGGTGCAATGATGATGGTGTATCTTCAGTGTGGTGTATTGGCAGTTGGTATGTGATAAAAACAACTTCCTTTTTTTTGTATTATGTGTATATTGTATAGTAGTGTAGTTCCAAAGTCACAATTGTTTATTCTTAATGCATGCATGCTCATGTTTGTATGTATGTATGTGTTTGCGTGTGTGTGTGTGTGTGTGCACGTGTGTGTGTGTGCGTGCATGTGTGTGAGTGTATGTGTGTGTGCGTATGTGTGTGCGTGCGTGTGTCGCAGGGAAGAGTTTCCATACAAACCAGAAAGAGAGAGTGGCCTGCGCTGCATCGTGAACCCGAGTACACTTCTTCTGATCTTCTTTTATTTGTTTGGTCTTGGATCAAGTTTTTTTCCTTTGGATTGTTCAGCGTGTGCTCTTCTTCTAATGACGGAATTATGTTGATATTGATAGGAAGAAATAAATATGTCACTGTGGGTGGTTGGCGGGTGCTCTGGTGTTTTGTGCTCCTCCTTTCCTATCAAACTCAAACATCTGTCGTCTTCATCTCCCTTTCTTTTTTTTTTATGTTTGTTACTCTCTTGTAACACCTCTAATCTTCTGGTGCTCATGTGACCTCATGCAGTTGCGAGCGCCGTTAAACCTCTACTAAAACTTTAAAAAACATCTATCGCCCTGAGCTTTCCTTCTTTTTTTTTTATGTGTGTGTGCGTGTTACTCTGTAGTTAGTAACGTCTCTCTCTAATGTTCTGTGCCATCAGCGTGTCTGTGCTGTGTGGTAGTTTTTGGTTTTGGGTACGACTGCTTTTCATAGTTGCTGAATACATTGTCTGAAAGTTGTTTTTTAAAGTTGAAGAAAAATTTGAATTTTAGGTAGGTAATTTTCTGCGTGCTCATTTACTTTCTATTTTAGTTTATCATTATTATATTATTATTATTTTAAAATTTTTTAAAAATTTGTCTTTGGTTGGTCAGACATTTTGGGTGTTGGGTTGAATGCCTATCACATGTTCACTCTAATGACTGTAATGTTAATGCGTTGTAAAGCTCTTCCTCAATTGGAACACGTGGCAAAACTCAAGCTGCTGATCAGCAGTGGGTGGTTGGCGGGTGCTGTGGTGGTGCGGTTTGCTCCTACTTTCCTATCAAATGTCTTATCATTCTGATCTCTCCCAGCTTTTTTTTGTTTGTTTGTTACTCTGTTGTAACACCTGTAATCTTCGGCACTTTTAGGATGACCTTATTGATTGAAGTTATTTTGAAGAGCG